TCCCAGTCTACTCCTCGAGAACTCTTTGGGGTCTTGGCTGAATGGCGAGCCCAGTAGAGCCTTGATAATAAGCAGCGTTGAATAAAGGGCAAAGGAGTCTGGGCTTTCTTCTGAAGGCTGTGGGTTGGTGGGAAGATAGGTCTGGAACACTGTGGAGGAGCATGAGTTTACCAGGAAAGAGGACGTTAGAGTGGGGAGCCCACCAGCCTTGGACTTACCACTTAACCTTTCAGGAATAATGAGGGAATAGTTCTATATGAGACCAGGGCCTGGAGACTCAAGATGTGCACCTCAAGGCCAGAGACTTGAGTTCTGGAGAGTTTCTAAGATCTATGTTCTATAGAAATTTTCGACACAGGTGCTGAGGCTTTGTGAATTCTGGTGACCAGAGCAGGAGCCTAAACCCAGCCTTGGGTTAGAGCTAATCAGAGACAATGGGGGCCCAGGGAAGAGGAGCTGGTTCCCATTTCCCAGGGGAGATGGAAGAGGTGGGGTTGGGTGAGGCGGGCCCTTTATAGCAGTTTCCTCTTTCCCACAGTGTGCAACTACGTCATTCCACACCCTTCCCACTCCTACCTTGCACCAAACAAACCCAGTCCAGGGGGCTGTGAGAGGAAGAGAGATTGCCGGAGCCAAAGTCCACTAGACCTTAGAAGAGAAATGATGATTCAAACTGAACCAGGAAGGAAAGCTTCCTGCAGCTTGTACCAGCACCACCCAGCCCCCATCCTTATACTAAACCAGATCCCAGCCTAGCTTTAGTCTCACACGTAAGGCCCACCCCAGCTCCATCGTAAACCTAATCCCAGCCACTTCTCCATCTTCAATCCCAACTATCAAGGAACACTAACGACCCCAAAATCAATCTCCACATCAGCTAAAATACCGGCATCACCCTAATCCCAGTTGGACCCCTAAGGGCAACCCAACTGAGTGTGGAAACTACAGAACAATATCATTGATTTCACATGCAAGCAAGATTCTACTGAAGATTATCCAAAAATGACTGGA